ATGTACAAACATACAATTAAATGTGTTTATTTCAGATTCTACTTAATCAAAATTTTAATTTTGGGCTTGACTGGATTAGGTTTGCTGGGCAAATGAATAACAAAATTCTTAAAAAAGTAAATATTCTTAACCTCTTAAAAATGTTGCAGGTACTTTAGCTATTTGAAGTCAATATTAACTTCAGAGTAAAGTTATTTCTAAAGTAGTGTCATGATGAACCATACTTAACACTTCTGAACCAGTTTTTTTTCATTTATTGGGATCACTAGGAATGTTCTTGGCTACTTATTTTTATGTGTCCCATCATCTGTCTATATATAAAGCAATCCCTGCCATTTCCCTGGGTGATCTTATACACACGTAGATTACCAACTCACAACCTAACCTTTAAGTGTCATGGCCTCATCATCACTTTCAATGTCATTGTCTACTCCAGGTTAGATACTTCCCATAGACATATTCCAAATCTTGTCATCACACTCCATGTCATTCTATTCCAAAATTACTTATTGAAATATATTATTCCTTCCTAATTGTAGTCTTCTCCTTTTAGCATGCTTTTTCCACTATCATGTGTGTGTTTTAAAATTTCTATCCTTTCCCAATGCTAATGCCCCTTTCTGTCCTCTCTCTCTCCCTATTTAGCTTAGTTTATATTTCATGTCCATCATTTCACCACAACCAAAAATTCATACATTCCTTTACTCTTATTTGGTAACATCCATGTGTCATAACCACAGCCACCAGTGAATTTTCTATCTACATGTCTACATTTGGGTACCTCTGTGCTGCTGGGGAAAATTACAGCAGGGAATTTAGATCAGATTCATTTGAAATTTCAACACTGCCCCATAATCCCAATATTTTCCTCTTCACCAATCTTCTTTCTATTCTCTGCAACTTTTTTTTCTTAGAGACCTCCACTGCCCTTAACCCTGCCTGTTCGGCAGATGAGCTCGCAGTCTACCTCAGAGGAAGAGAATAAAGGAAACAATGGAGTACTCTGAATTATTTGCTGCCAAACACACACTAACTCTTGCCCCCATTCTTCTTAGTACAGAAAACTAGGCTACTCTTCTTACTTGAAACCATCCTTTCCCATTTTCTCAGTTGCATTGTACCTGATTTCCCACCTGTTTTTATACTTTCAAATTCTGTTCGCTTCTGTGTTATGGCCACCACCACTTAAACATTCTCAAGTTTTAGCTATTGAAAGAAATTCTTTTTTCATCCCTCTTTTCCATTCCAGTTACTACCCATTCACTCCTCAAACTGGTGTTAATAATTGATTTAGAAATATTTCTGATCTACCAACTTTAACCTTCAAATGCAAGAAGAGGCAGTTATATTCCACATATAAAGCTCATTTGGTGAATTATTTCATGTGAAGTTTTACATCCAGGGTCGACTAGTTAATAAAGAGGTGAAGGCCCATTCGTTTAGAAGGAGATCAAGAAGATTAAAGTGAGATAACTGAAAAGTTAAAGGCCCCTGCTTTGGAATATAAGACATATGTTGGATGGTAATATCTTGTTGTGTCTAGATGTATACTGATGTTCCCACGGAAAACATTATGCCAATAATTGGATTTGATCTTATTCATTAGATGGTAACTTAAAACTTGTTACTTGCTATGTCCATTAAAATTTGTTATTTGCCTGTTACTTACAGTAATCTTTACCTGAAGAACATTTGTTCGTGACAGAATCTCTCTTGCTATTATAACCTTGACAATCTGGAGTGAAGAGAAAAATAATAATGAAGTTATATATAACTGTAAATAAGTGTTTGTGGGAAAGAATGTATTAATTTTTATAAGAAAAATTGAGCACTTTATCGAGACCAAAAAAAATCTGCAAATATGTATCTCACTTCTGATATAAGTTTATAATGTATTACCACAAAATCAGAGTTACTTATGACTCTAGCTCTTTGTCTTTTGCAGGACATATTTTTTTAGAAAGTCATGAGCTGAAATATTTAATATTCTAAAGTGAGATAGATAGCTGCTTAATATGCCTCTTAAATTAATTGACTATGGAGAAGGAAGTTAATAAAAACTATGACAAATCGAAATCAGATAACATGCAAGTGGATAACAAATGCGTTAGAACTTTAAGTAATATTTCTTGAGTGATACCTTTATATTTGTTTCCTATTTGTTTTCATCATTTCCCATACATTTTATATTTAAGGCATTTTTATTGGTGCAAATTTCCTATTTTCAAAAATGGTAAATGAAGATGTGAGGAATATTAGTCTTCCACCTTGTGCAAATTTAATTAGGTTGTCTTATTGGAGAGCAATTCCTAGATAGCTGGTAGGCTGAGGAAAATTTCTCTGTCCATGGGAGTAACTGGTCTAAGTACTTTTGGCAGACACTGCCTTAATTTCAGAGCTCATCAAAGAGTTCGCAGGTATATTGACGGGAAAACCATCTTAATGACCCAGAAGCTGTCATTTTTTGGTCTTAATTTTCTTTCAGTTGCATGTATGACGTAAAAAATATGCCTTAAATTTCTTAGGACATTGTGATGTCAGTTTGCATGGACAATTATGTTTTCATTTATTTGGAAATTTAAAGGGCTTGCCACAGGTGTTCCGGTGGTAAGGTCAAAGAATACTCGTATGCCTTTCTCCATAATGAATGCCCGTTTAATAAAATAATACACGGTTTCTCTGAATGAATGCGTTTAGAGGAGGCATGTGCAGGGTGTTCCATTGCCACGTCAAGCTTTTCTTTATAATAATTATGCAATAAAAAAGGAAACTCTCTTACTTGCCTATTTCTG